TCAAGAACCTCACGAGTCACCACTGGAGGAACATATTGCTGAGTACGGTGCCGGCCACAAGAAATAAGTGACCCACCAAGTTTTACCAAACCGGAAGTGAAACGTTCAGCTTTGCGGCGCTACATGTTCTATCTGTATTCTGCGGTTCAGTTTTGGCATGAGTAGGCTAGTTCATGTTGACGAAACCTCCAAATACTCTACTGTCCAATAAGCCACACGCTGCGAAGTATTCAATACAAGAATTATTGCTGGATAGGAGCAAGCTTCGAATGAAAAAATGGGGAATTACGGTGAACAGCGAACCTCTCCATGTTGAGGATGACATCGATGATAGTAGGTAGAGAGAAGGTCACTTAATCTGCTGAAGTTTCTTTGACCAGGACCCCAGAAAACCCACATTGTTTCACCCAGAACTGTGAAACTATGTACAGGTTTACCTGATTATTAGGTGGAACTATTAACAAAGAACACTATTTATAACTGGTATATGAGAGACCGAAAATGGTTAAGCATTCTGAACACCAGCCGCGATGTCGAGGGTGCGTTTCTTGAGATTCAAACTGGAGGTGAGATTGCGTGAACGGAGCAGGCATACAGTGGTTCGCGGCTTCAGTTACTGGACGAAATTCTGATAAAAAATCTCTGATCAGTTCTCGATTTTTTACCGGGAGGAAGGTGTTCGTGCTAAACATTCGAATACAGCTCGTGGTCTTTTGGCTTGAATTCTCATGGGTAATGGTACATTTTAGTGTGATGAACGACTTTAATACTTGGTGGACTTTTAACTTGGAAGGCACGTGAAGGAGAACTGGCATACCTCAGAACCTGGAGGAATATACGTCACATTTTCGTTGTATAGCTTCTAAACGTGGGCCTCAAGACTTCTCTGGTTCGTCGATGTCTGTTATCTCAGAACCAAAGCTCGTGTAAACTGGTGTCCGCGAATCCACAAAAGGACAATTCCGAAAAGACTGTTCAGTGGGCTGCAAAGACTTCAATCGAGGAAAGTTTTAGGGTAAGAACGAGACTTCGTGTGAATCTCCTTCCTGTAGAATGCAAAAAACTGCTCACCGTAGAACTTTGATAATACATTCTGATGTATTCACCGACGTAGATGTGAAAATATCTGAAAAGTCTTGGGTAAACTAGATATCGTCCAAGAGTGCATAATTACTTTGATTCCCTTTTTCATCAACTCAAAATATTGAGCAGTTTATGATGACTCTGCTGGTGACTTGATACCCAGCTTACAACACCTACAAGCTCTTATTACATTCGTAAAATGATATATATACATCCTCGAATAAAATCACAATTTTTTTCCAAACGGTAGCCAGAAATTTATAAATCGTATATTTCCAAGCAGCCCAAATTCCTGGTGTGGGGCAGCTATGACCTATTGATGTAAGCACACCCGAAATGTCCTAGAAACCCCAGGTTGAACAGGAGAAAAATGTGCTACAGATATTTAAATTTGATGGTATTCATTCATAGCACAAAAATCCATGAGGAATATTACAAAATGCCTTAAAGTTTTTTCCAAGAAAAGCAGATAATTACCAGCGGACGAGGATGATGAGGATTCGGTGAAATTGTCCTACTCTGATAGACCAGTGAATCCGATCTACGCTGGAAATTCAGGGAGCAGTATACATCTTTTTAATTCGCATTGGATTCATTAACAACTCGCACCTCAGAAAACCAGAAAAAGTGCGGCCAGATGAGTTTCCCGGTTTCGTTGCTTCGGCGCATGAAATTTGGGTCACGTAGTAAGTCGTGGCGTTGATATTATGATCATGAATTTTAGTGCAGTTCAAAATTTGTTTGCATTGTGTGACCACAGCGAACGAGAAATGACTTGCTCGGTACCCTGTTGCACAGATTACAGATGTGAGAACTCTGTAAGTGCACAGTGCAAACCATCTGCCATCGAGAGCTACCATGATTGGCGAACAGATGGATTCTTGTAACCGTTGCTTTTCCAAAATCCAGAGGAATCTTGTTAGGTGTTTCGCATTTTCAGTGTTTGTGGGAGATTAACAGCGTAGTCAAAGCTCCATGCCCAGAAATCACTCGGACATTATAGATATTATTAGATTTTTCCTCTAGTATTCTCTTCTGTTAGTGGTGTATCAAGGGAGGAATAGTTATCCGAATAATTGGAAAGGTAACTGGGAGGACGAAACTATAAAAGTGAAAAGTGCCAGAGAGCTTAATTGTGATCCAGACGCGGGTGATAATATACGTTCTGGAATAACTTATAACTCGTGAATTGGACAAAGCATTTAACCCAACACCACGTAATTTATAGAGGAGAAGGGAAAGAATAAATTGAAGTAGGGTAACAAAGATACTTAATACTGGCTGATTTGGAGAAGTAATGAGACAACTTGCAGACCGGACCTAAATGTACCGTCATTCATATCAACATCTAAACTGGTTCACCCATCTTTCGCGAAAGCGGATAGTACAAAGAACACAGGACTTTGCTGATTATAGAAATTTGATGAAACAATCTACCCCAGGTTTAGACAAAGGCGCCAAAGAGCCTGTACGTACTCACAGGATACGTTCGCATTACTCTCGCTGAACGCCTACTGGTTCGAACCGTATTCTGCCAATTTGGTTACGTGCATTTACTTCAGAATTTCCTCCAATCACGTCCCATCTGCTCCGTTTTTCCCTCGATGCAATAATGGAAGTACATGTTATAGGTGTGGCTATATATCTTGGGCCGAACACCACTATTCCGGGACAAATGTATCATGTTATAGGTTTTGCATTCTGATCTATCTTACATCTCATGTTGTGAGAAGCGAAGGGCGTCAATTTCGTAAGCTATCTTGCAGCCTACGGAAGCAAAATGCGAATTCCCATATTTCTTGTCAAGGAAATTTCGGTTAGGCCAAATATCATATTCCTGCAAAAGTTGTTCTAGACATTCCCGATTTCTTGAACGCCAAATAAATTTATCCTCGGGACACAAACGACAGCATCTGGCGGACTGAACCAACCCTTCATTGGACGGGACTCTGAAATGCAGCGCATTCGCATCCATTTGAAAGAGACCAGTATACAATAAAGATTCATTTGGGTTCAGTTGAGTACTTCGTCCAAACGAAGTTTGTCCAAAAGTTGTTGTTTTTGTTCCTGTCAGGAAAATTAGATTCCCGAAATGAATGCGGAAATGTACCAAAAAGCTTCATAGTGATCGAGACGCGCTTGATAATATACTTCCCAGGTCAATTGTTACTCCCGAACCGTCCAAAACATTTAACTCACCACCGCGACTTTCAGTGCCGTGGATGAAGGAAGAAATATGTTGAATTACGGTAACAAGCATATGTCAAACTGGCTCATTTGGAGGAGTAACTAGACAACTTCCCAAGCGTACCTAAACGTCCAAACAGGTTCAGGCCTCATTGGTTTCCGACAGTGGCACAAAGATAAGGGAACCTCACACATTATAACATACTGATGTAGTAATCTAATCTAATCTAATCTAATCTAATCTAATCTAATCTAATCTAATCTAATCTAATCTAATCTAATCTAATCTAATCTAATCTAATCTAATCTAATCTAATCTAATCTAATCTAATCTAATCTAATCTAATCTAATCTAATCTAATCTAATCTAATCTAATCTAATCTAATCTAATCTAATCTAATCTAATCTAATCTAATCTAATCTAATCTAATCTAATCTAATCTAATCTAATCTAATCTAATCTAATCTAATCTAATCTAATCTAATCTAATCTAATCTAATCTAATCTAATCTAATCTAATCTAATCTAATCTAATCTAATCTAATCTAATCTAATCTAATCTAATCTAATCTAATCTAATCTAATCTAATCTAATCTAATCTAATCTAATCTAATCTAATCTAATCTAATCTAATCTAATCTAATCTAATCTAATCTAATCTAATCTAATCTAATCTAATCTAATCTAATCTAATCTAATCTAATCTAATCTAATCTAATCTAATCTAATCTAATCTAATCTAATCTAATCTAATCTAATCTAATCTAATCTAATCTAATCTAATCTAATCTAATCTAATCTAATCTAATCTAATCTAATCTAATCTAATCTAATCTAATCTAATCTAATCTAATCTAATCTAATCTAATCTAATCTAATCTAATCTAATCTAATCTAATCTAATCTAATCTAATTTTGCGGGCCGTTTTCACGAAGATCAGTAAATAGCTACCAGCTTCACTTCTTCAAGACCGTCACAGCAGCTTACGACGCTGTATACTCCATTGTAACAGTCCATCTGGACATCCAAAAAGCCTTCGACCAGGTCCCCGACACCTCCCTGCTACACAAACTTAGCACCGTTGGCATTACAGGAACCTTGTTACAGCGACTGGCCTCCTATTTATCAGACAGTAGGCAAACAACGCAAATCGGGGACATAAATTATCTTCACTACCGATCACTAGNTCAAGGAAAATCTATCGATTGTAATTTGTTTTAGTATCAACCTTGGGACTACTGGTTATCGGATTCAATGTTTCGCGCTCACTGCCAACCAGTGAAAGGAAGAAGGCCTTCGCTGCGGTGTGATTTATTCGAAATGCCAACTGACCGGTTACAGACCACTGAACAGGGAAGCAAAACTCCAATCTAGATCTCGGTTACAAAAACTGGACACAGATCTTCTCCCGAACGAGTCTTCCTGGAGATTCATTGACTCCAGTCATTCGCCGGTCAAATCCAAGCGAACGTTACAAAGTGGCCCCGCGAATTCCGCAACAGAATTCCCTTTTTCAATCGACGCAACTGGAAATTCTACGAATAACATATACTACTCGCGTGCCTTCCGATCAGTAGTATCAGCGCTTCACACTTCCACCCCTTAAAGCTCGTTCGCATGCCATCGATTTTAATTTACCTCCGTCAGGTCAGCTTTGGCAGTGGGTCTACTCGGCCGCTCTTCGGGTTTATCATGCCACTTGCGAAGCTGCGTCCCATTCACTAACTACCATCCCCGTCCATCTTGAATGGTGAAGACGTTCCCCCGGCGGTCGGTGACGACAAACGGCCCTTGCAATCAACTGCTCAGCGTCCGCGACCCCAGTCCGCTCCTTCCAGGTTTCTAATAATCCCTCCACTTGACCTTTGTGCCTTTGAGGGACGCTTGGACCTTTCTGCTTGCAGTTTTCTGCCTAGTCCTTCCCTGATCGGCGGTCAAATTTTCTCGAGCTCTCTCTCCTTCTTCCTCTAGCTGCTCCGGTGACAAGCTTGTCGCCGGCCACAACCGAACTTCCTGATCAACAGGAAGGCGCGGATGTCGAGCGTACATTAACATAGATGAGGACTTGCCCGTGTTTGACTGCGTCGAAGCGCGACGAGCTAACAACGCCATTGGCAAGTTCATCTCTCGTTCACCTCCTTTGGCCGCAAGCCACTACTTGATCGCTCGGTTATTACATTCAATCAGGCTATTTGTTTTCGAGTGGAATGGTGCCGTCCTTAGCCGTCTGACACCCAGCGATTGCGATCAATGACGAAACTATTCGCTCTCGAAGCAAGGCCCCTGATCGGTTAGAATAATTTTTGGCACACCATGGTTGGTCACGATGTGGTGCATTACCACTCCGCTGATTGCCGTCACCCGCTGATTCGGCACGGCGGCCACCTCAATCCATCGCGGCAGGTGTTCTGTCATCATCATGATGTATAGATTCCCACTGATTGTCACCTGAAAGGGCTCATGACGTCAACTAACCACAACTCGCTGATTTCTGAGACAACAATGGGTTCCACGGGATAGGTTGCCCCTGTCGTATCCGCTTTCATTAGTTGACAACGCTTGCACGACACCTCATAATCCATAACCTCACTTCTCATCCCGGGCTAGTAGGCTCTCTGCCGAAGTAGGTCTTATGTCCTGGTGCACCCTTATGTGCCATCTCATGGCATTCAACGATGAGGTTCCGTCTAAAGACGCGAGGTGTCACGGGCACCACAACATCTGAATCAGTGGCGTTCCAGGAAATTATGCCAGCTTCATTCAGCCTCAGCCGATCAAAGTGACTATGGTACCCTTCTAATTCCTTGTCTCCCTCTCCGGTCTCAATGTTCCTCCCATCCAACATGGCGGCTGCAACCTTTTGTCACACCGAATCCGGTGGTTGAATTTGCACCAACTTTCCAGGATCCATTTTGACGACGAGGCCTTCTCCATCTTGGGCACGTGCTGCACTCTAAAGTCGTACTGGTGCAACCGGAGTGCCCATCTTGCGAGCTTCCCGCGAG